TTTCCCTAATTAGAGGACTTCAGAATTTTAGTCTGAAAAGAAGCTGTCACACAAAACCATTTTATTAATTAGATTTTTGAATTTAGGAGCTCTGTTGTTTCACGGTAAGCTTGAAGGAAAGTCATCTCTAATTATTTCAGCTATAACAATCAGAAGTAGAAAAAGAAAAAAGAGGAGAGGATGGTATTGAAATATGCAGGTATAGGTGACCATGGAATGTCTCTGAGTAGAACAGGGTATTTATTAATACATACTTATATATTGATTTGCATAATTTAGACATAGGACTTTATTCCTGTTTGGTTTTTTTTCCTCCCTCCTTTCTTTTAAAAGTCTAGTATGATTAAACTGCTTCAGGAAAAACAGGTCTTGTGAAAGATTGAGGGAAGTTATGAATATGGAAGATTGGACGAGATTAAGAAAGGGAAAAGGAACTAACTGGAATGTTGGGGGAAGAGTTAAGGAAGTTGTCATTCACAGATAGGCAGCATTCCTGTTTTATTTTGTTTCCTCACCATTTCCTGAGGTCATTTTATTAATTCAGATACTCACATAGTAAATATAAATCATGCAATTTAAAGTGGTAGATCTATGATTATATGGTTTGGGGAATTTTTGCTATTTTTATCTTGATATTACTAGTCATTTTGAAGCATTTTATATTAAAATAAGAAGAAAGGGTAGAATCCTTTTGTAGTTTTGAATGTTAAGCAGCTTTCCAGCAAATGATGTATTACCCACAGGGCATCAAATACAGCTTGACAAATCAAAGATATGGGTTGGTTGTTTTTTAATCTGACATACCTTTTGTTCCAGCTTTGTTTTTTGTTTTTTTTTTTTTAATTTAGTTTTAAGATGTGAAATCCCCAGGAAAAATCCTACTCTCTCCTGTGGGAGAGGCAGGCCTACATCTTGCTGAGTTCCCTCCTAGAAAAAAAGATTTCTATCTGAAGATCTCTGGATGTAGTATTTATTTGAAAACAATAAGAACAACAGGTCAAGCTGTTTAATGGAAGAAGGAAGCCACGTGAAGGAGCAATGCTGAGCAATGTGCTGAACAATTTACGTCTGTGATCCTTGGAGTCTTGTGCTGTGCGACAAAGCTTCATCAGCGCAGATAAGGTTGCTGGGGTGTTGAAAATTAATAGAGATGTAGCTGGAGTGACAGAATCCCTGTCATGCATGCAGCAAAAAGCGACGCAAGGAAGGTGAATTTGTCCATTCACTTTAGGTTGTTCAGAGGCATTAGAAGTATTTTGGCAGAAAACTTCCTCCTGTTGGCATACTTTCATTTTGAGGACTCTTCCAGTGCAATTTGCTGGTCTCCCTGTGACAGCTGAGGCTGATTCCAAGCTTGTCTGCCACAAGCAGAACTTAAAAACAATGCAATTAATCTTTATTGAAAACTCCTTTTCCTATTCCTTATTTTAAAAGAATTGCTAAGTTTTTACTTAATTTGTAAATTTAGTCCATGGAGAAGAATTTTACTTCTGAAAGCTTGCGACTCACACTTTTTGGGGAGAAAAAAAAGGGTATTTTTACAGTTGCAGTAAGCTCTTTGCTCTTACATTTTTAAGAGTGTTACTTTAAGGTTTGTGTCATTTAGCTTCCTGTCATTTTGGTTGCTGCTCAGTTACACTTGAGAAAAATGAGAGACGCTGAGGAAGATTTCCAGTGGAAGCAGAAAAATAAAATGTACAAACTGGGTGGTGACTCTCCCTCACATGACCAGAAGAAAAAAAAAAATGTTTTGCTTTTGGCTGTGCTTGCCACTAAACACCCTGTCATAGTGTGAGGTGAGTCACGACTTGTTTATTAATAGCCTCGGCCAATCAAAGCCGAACGCTCTGAACTTCATTCAAGACCAGCAGGCACTTAGGATGTCTTGTAAACATTTGCGCTCTCAGCAAGGAGCGCGCTTCTCGGCAGCAAACAGGACAGGTGCCCGGCTTGTCGCTTCTAAAACACAAAACAGCCTAGAAGATCGTTGCCTGGATTATCTAGATTGGTAGAGGGAGAGAGAGAAAGAATTCCTTTTTACATCTGAAATGCCAGACAGTGAGGATCTGGGACAAGATGAAAGGTACTGTACCTTGATTCTGATGGCCTTCTCGTGCAGCGCAGGACGGACCGAGGCTTCGTGTAATTAATCTGTGTGCGCTCCCGAGTTCTCAGCCCAAGATCAGTTTTCTCTGCGTTGTAACAGATCATCTAATTCTTGAGGGTTTTGCCTCTAACGCTAACCTAAGGCTTAGGGGAGAAGTATTAAATCTTAATGTCTGCACAGAGGTTAAGTCGTACAGCTCTTACGTATTTCTTAAACTAAAGCTGAAGGGAAGAAAATACTGGGTGGTTTCTATTTAGTCACTTTTCCCAACTATGCGACAACTTACAAGCCTCAAAATGTCAGAGACACAAATAGTTTTGTCGGAGCCATGTTACTGACAGAACCATAACTCATTACTATGAGCTAGGGCACTATGTCCCTCTGAGGTATGCCTGTCTTTCTGAAGTTTAACTTTTATCTTCATTAGCTTATAAAACCAGCGGTCATGACAAGAAGAAAGTAGTTGGATCTAAAACTTAGTAACAATTTAACAAATACTATGTTCTCAAACATGATCCAGCACATTCCTATGAAATAAATACGGTAGTTAAATTTAGCTAAATAGACAGATTTTAAAATAGGTACTTTAAAAGTAGATATTATAACTACGTTTCTTAAAGTCCACATGGTTTTTCCATAGTTGTGACTTTTATTGTCTTGATGGTAATGAAAATGTTGGCTTTAAAATGGTGTTAATGAAATATTTGATATCGCAAAAAAAATTGTCACATATGTGGAAATAGGCTTTTTTTTTTTTTTGTTAATAAAATGCCAGAATATAGAGGCAAATTAAAGAAAAATTAAAGAAATTGTAAGAATCAGAAGTGAGCATTTCATTATGGCTTCGGATTTGATTTCTTCTAGTTAGATTTAAATGTGAACATTTATGTGGAGACTTTATTAATATGTGTTGTTGTAAGATAGATGAAATACAGAAAAGATTTCTGTTTGTCTGTTGTACATGAGTATATTCGGGCATGGTCACCTAACTGGATGAGTGTGGCTCAGTAGATCCCCAGTGGCATAATTGGGTCTCTGCTAGGGTGGGGTCACCTATGCATTTCCGTTTGCAGGGATCTAAGTTGTGCCCTATATATGACATAGATTAAAAGTAATTGTAGTAGTAGGTAACATTTTTTTCTTTTCTTTTAAGGAAATGTTGACTCATGACTGATAGCTACCAAAGTGTTAATTGCTATTTATTTAAAAATGTTTAACTGGATGTCCAATTTGTTAAATTCTGTATTTTTCAATACAGGAAAACAGCAGTGTGCATAACATGTTAAAAAAAAGAAAAGGTTTCAGATTATAATCACCTTTTTTTCCTTTTGAATGAATTTTATAAAGGATATGCATTATGTCCTTCCTTGAAAATGTGTGTGTTTGTTTTTAAATCAAGATGGGAGAAAATCTTACCAGCTGAGATGCAAAATAATTTTGAAACAAAAATAATATTTCAAAATGTGGATTTTTGGGGGAAAAAAAACGCAGCAGAGTTAACAAATATGTAAAAGGATACAACTGGTATGCAAAATAAACAAGCTTTGTAATATCTGACTTCCTTTGTTCACAATTCTTTCTCTATAAAGGTGTGTAACAAGCTTTGGCAGTTAAATAGAAGTAATAGTAGGCCTAAATCTCTGAGACTTCTTTTTTTATGAGTCAAAGCTGTTTGTTTTGTTGCTTGGGGTTTTTTTTTAAACTAAAAGGGTGAATATTTCTACAGCAGTAACGTGAAAAAGCATGATTAATAAGGCCTGCTCTCCCCATCTATTATCTCTGAAACTACCATTAAATTAATTGACCCTGATCCTAGTCCCTCATCCTTTGGTGTTTTTGCTATTGAGCAAAAAGGTTTGAGAAAATAGCTTAATCAAAGGGTTCCAATTTCTTCTGGAATTAATTTTCCTTTTTGTCTTGGTGGTAACAAACAGGATATAACTGGAGAACGTGACTACAGAAGTGCTAATGAGATTTGGTGGAGGTCAGAATATTTTGGTCCAAGGTAAACAGGAGGGAATAGAAGGAGGAGCTATGGGAGCTATACTGAAGGAACATGGGAACTGCACTGGAGCAATTCATTTTAGAATCGCAAAAGAAGATATAGTAATGTAAATGCACAAATAATGGGGCAATTTGAGGATACACTGAATCCACGCTACCGCTTTATATATTTAAAAAAGGAGGACAGTGGTATTTTTGTAGAAGCTGTAGAATGAGCATTGTTTGCTGGGAGGTTTCAGCTCACTGCACTCCTTGTAGCTCCTTCTCAGATGCAACCAAATACTTCTTACATCCTCTCCCCTCTCAAGTTCATGTCCTACTTCAGAAAATATGTAATATTGCATCATAGTATTACCAGTTGTTTCATGAACATTATAACATCATAGCTAAAGATGTGGCATTGGTCAATAGCCTGTTAGTCATACTGTGAATTTAAATGTACAATAAGCAAAGGAACATATGCACAAATACTTCTTAGTAAGGTTAGGAAGAAAGCTAAGAGTTGTGAAGAGTAAGTACCCACTCATATCTTCTTTTTTTGTTTTGCCGTATGATCCTGGGCAGTAGCAGAACAAAAACAGCAAGGAAAGATACGGTCAAAGGTCAAGGACTGAACACAGTTTAGCATAAGGATTTTATTTTCCCCCAGTAATTCTTTATCATTGGGTCCTCTATAGTTTTGATGTAAGATGGTATAATTTTTTTTTTAAATAAATTGACAGCTGATGAGGAATCTAATGATTGTCAAGAATGTATAAAAGGTACTGTGTATAATTGGTCCTGAAGTGGTGGAAGCACTTGGCTGTAGGTGCTTCAAAGAGAGACCAACGTGTAACTTCCCCTGTCAGAACCATGTCTGTCTTGTTCTGTTCGCTGTCATCTGCCTATTGAAAAGGATGGTGCACTAAACTGTTAGCCATGAACCTTTTATGACTTGAATAACAATGGGAGAGAAAGCTATGTTATTTTGAACTAGTTGTTTTTGAACTACAGTCTTACAGTGCATGACCTTTCTCAGTATGTGCTTGGACTTAGAAGAATGGGGATCCAGTTTAAAGTCAAATCTGCATGTTATTTAATTAGTCAAAGCATGTTGATTTTTAATTATATAAGAATATTTGTTTCTTCTGCTAGTAGTAGTCAATAAAGTGGAAAGTATTTGATTTACTTTTATGATTGAATTCAGTATTCTTTGTCTGGCAGTTGAAAATTAAATTTTCCTTTTTTGTGCAGCTGCTCTGCAACTCAAGGAATGCTCAGCTCATCTTTCCTAGCTGTTTGACTTTGAGAGGCCTTGAACTAGAGTATCCCAGCTGAAGAATGTGGAGGCTGAAAGAGGAAATTTGAGTTTGTGAAAAAGGGTTAAAAGAGATGTCTTTGCAGCAGAAAAAAAAAATGTGAAAGAATCGCTTCCAACAGCCAGGCAGAGCTATTTAAAGTTCTGCAGACAGAACTTTATGCTCATGTTGATATAAACAAGACTTCCTTACTTTTCTGAACAAAAAGAGCACAATAGAAATGTCTCTTTTGCATCACCAGTTTCTATTACAAATGGGAAGCTGACCTGGAGGATCCCAGCCCTCGTAATGTCTTGGTAAAAAGACAACAGCACATAGTAGTAGTATTATAGTCTTTGCTAAACAGAAAGCAAGTCTATAATAGTATTTACGCAGCACTGAAACACTCAATTTTCATGCAAAGAGACATGTAAAAAATCTATGCTTATTGACTAAGTCATGAGTTTGGACTAACAGCACTTGACTATCAGATCACATTTCACATTCTGAATGACCTCAAACTGGAGTAGCTCGTGTGCTTCTCGGGAGAGCTGGACAAGAGTAGCATGGGTCAAAGGAAGGGTTTCCCATGAGAGGTCACTTACCAGTTTGCTTAGAAGAGTCTGGAGGAGCTGGACAATGAAATGCCCCAAATTTAGTTGGGCTATATTTTGTTTATTTTAGCAGGACATTCAGCAAAAAGTGCAAAAAAGTGCAGTTAGTACAATCTGCGGTGTTGAGGAACTTATGTACTGAAATCACCTTCAAAAAAAGTTGGAGTTAACCATTTTGTATCTGATGAGCTAAAGAAAGACAACATAGCTCCTTATTAAGAATTTATAAGATGGCTGATATTATACTTGAATAGAAAAGATGAACGCATCTCCTCCAAAATAAAATCCTTGTAGTAATGTTTGGTGGTTGTTTTGTTTTTTTTTAAGTAACCTGTAGGACAAGATGAGTTCCCCTGTTCCTTTGCAGAACACTTGGGTGTATTTTTATAACAACAGCATTGTTTTTATTTTCAGATAAGTTTGTTCTTGACTAGTAATGTAAGAAAAAAAAAATTCTGTAAGGGATTGATATTGTTTAGCAGCACACCGTAAAATGTTCCCATGTCAGTTGAAGAGAAGAAAATACCATTATGACTTTAGTTTAACACACTGTGCCAGAAGTGTATAGAGTCAGGTTCGAAATGTTGCATATGTTTTGTTTAAAGTCACATGTCCTGACCACTCTGCTGCGGAGTGCATTGAGAAAAACATATCCTGCCTCATCAAATGGTCATGATTTAAACATATTTCTTGTAATAGTCTTGGTCAAGAAATTAAGGGGGCATGCACGTTACTGAAAGCTGTGAAATAAGATCTTTTTTCAGCTTTTTATTGCACACCTTCCCCTCAAAAAAACAGTAACAGCAAATTGGACTGATTCACTGTTAATAAAAAGCACAAAATTGAAGTGTCAGATGAAGATAAGGGAGGTCAGAAAGAAAACACTTTAAAAGCTGGAGAAGCAATGTTGCACAGTATGAACAGAATATATTTAGTTCTTAGAAAGGTGTAGTTGAACTACAGGAGAGATGATAATTAAAGGAGATTTTTGGATTGGGAGATGTTGTTCGTTACCCTTTAAGGTTGGCAACTACATTCTCCAGCTTCAATTTAAAAACAGAATCTGTCTTAACTTTGTAAT